AGTGACTTTTCTTTTCTTGAGAGAACTCCTCAAAAACAGACTAGCACAGACAGCTAATGGTATAACTGCGCTGAGCATGCAGCAGTGCCTAAAATACATTCACTAAGTGCATTGAGCAAAAATTTCCATTTTGTACATGGTTTAAAAATTACTGCAGCGATGACATGAAGTCATTAGGTACATAAAGTATTAACAATGAGCTAAAGTGAAAAGGTTAGACATTCACTTTGGATGAGTTCCCCAGAGCCTGTATTCAAGGATCTTTAATGCAGTTGTGTGCTGGGCTGACAGAGTTGGGAGGAGGGGCACTTCAGCAAAAGTGACCTCTGGAAGGACTTTCGCCTGTAGTGGCAGAAAGAAGGCACATGTTCTCCCTGGGCTACACAGAGGAGTAACATTAGCACAAGCCTTTTACTATATCTTACACAAAAAAAAAAAGAGGCCTGTGTTCTCTCTAGCCCCAACTCTTCAGCCGGCACACTGCTATAACTGTGTCTCCATCTTTCTTAGGGCCTTGTTACGCACTAATTTTGGGTGGCTCCTAGCGCTCTTAACCCCTGGATTGTCTGCATGTTACCACCTTAAAGTGGTTTTCAGCACTCATTATGCCACTCAAAGTTAGGCCACTCCAGAGTAGGATTATCTATTGATCCACACTACCCAGCTCCAGTTCCACTGAGGTGGGGGCCACTCCCCACAGATGTCCTGCCCAAATTGAGGTCCTCTAGCATCCCAGGGTCTCTCACCGCCCCTGCACCCATAGAGCAGGGATTGAAGCCTGTCCTGGCTGGCGAGCCCTCTGCTGGCAACTCCAGCTCCTAGCCCTGCCCCTGCTCACCAGGCCTCTAGCGGTAAGTCGCAGCTGGGCACGTGGGGGCAGTCAAAGACGGTTTCTAAACTAAGGGTGTTGTCACAACCCAGTGATTTTTTGTGCCTCGGCACTATGGAATTTCCTGGCCACATGAGAGCTCCTTTGCACGGCAGAGTGTTCTGCTGCAATTAAGAGCCCGCGTGCAGGAGAGTTCCCGCCAATTTGCAGTTTCCTTTGCAGGATGCATTTCTTCCTTGCAGCACAGAAATGCACGGTGCAAAGAGTTCCCGCTATTCGGATACAAATTTGTGCCCCGCTATTGGCCAGTGCTAAATTATTCACACGTGGCGGCTAGTAATTGGCTCCCTGGCCGGTTAAAATTCCGCGCGACTTCCGCCCAAGTCGAAGAGCTTTGAGCACGCTGCAGAGTGCCTCTGAAGTTATCTGACTTGCGGTTGCCGATCGATAGACTGATCACCTATCGATCTTTCTTCCCGTCGCCGAGCGCACCCCCGACGTACCCCTTTCCCCGCCGGCTTCGAATTGCGGATGGATTAACTGGCTTGGGGCCCGCCAGCTGGAACAACTCGTGTGGTTGTTCAGACGACCGGACCACCTGCGTCGTGATTGCAAGCGGCGTGAGGAAAGTTTTTTGCAACCAGTAAGTTGTGTCTGCCTCTCCATTCACCAGCCCGCCCTGACGTACGAGCGTAACTCGAGTTGGCCCTGGCCGTCCGAGACAGGTGTGACTGCTCCAAACTATCAGCAACGTCAATCCGCAAGTGTGAAGCTCACAGCGGAAGATGTAACAAAAGCCTTAGAAAGGTTCAGTGTTGATTTCAGTGCTTCTAATCTACACTCCAAAGGCAGAAAAGCTGCAGATTTATGTAGCTTCTTATGCAGGAGAACTCAAAAAGATCTTCAAGAAAGCTGCTTGACAGAGATTTGCTTCTTTTCTTGGCGATTGGTTTCAGTTCTCCAGAGGTACATAACATAAGCCCTTGAGTTATGAAATGTGAGCTTCTTTAAAGGGACAGTCCCCCCAGCCTCCTTTCACACCCACTACAGGATTTCAAATATTGATTATCAGCCCATTGATTAATTCCTTAACTGTTAAGAAAGGTAACAGCCTGTCCCACCCAGTCTGATTGGGCAGCTGGAGTGTGTGCAGCTGGCTGGGCTGTGTTCGCTCTAATTAGCTGAAAGAGCAGTAGAGTCCTGTACGAGCCCACCTCTTACAACTGGGAACCAGCTGATCACCGCTTAAGTCTTTGTAGGTTGTGCTAAATTTCTTTTCTGTTTAGTATCTGCTCTTAGTGCCTGATTGGGACTCCTGACTTTTACTTTATTGTCCTTTATTGTTCTTGGTCTTGACTATTGGCCTAGGAATCTGTTACAGTAACAATGTTTGGTTCCTGAGGTGCCCTGCATTATTGCTTGGATTTGTGCACCCTCCATGAACTGTTAGCATTACTCTTACCAGGAGGTGGTAAGTCTATTTGTTCTGACAACCCTGTTTTCTTAGGCTCTTTGTCTTACTTGCTGTGATTTTTTGCATTTCTGAGACTTTCTCCAGTGAAATGGCAGACTCGGGGTATATCTGTACAGCGTAAGGCAATGCTGTGTTGAGATAGACAAGTGCTTGCTGTCTGCATGCTAACTTCTCAACGGGAAGCCAGTGCAGTACTGAATGCATGCCAATGCACTCTGCTTCCCTGAGTTCTGCAAGGTTTCTTGTTCTGAGCTGTTGTTCTAGCAGGCCTTGTATGTCACCTGAGACTAGGCAGGTTGTTTCATCCAGTTACTACATGCAATAGTTATCTGTGGAACTTTCTTATATGGATTCAAGTTAAATTCTCTAGAGAGTGTGTATCCTTGTGACCACTGATTTTTTTCCCCATGTTTTTGTTCAATTTGTAAATAAAATAAAATATCATTGGGGTGGGGGGCAGAGGGGAGATGTTTATCTGGCCCTTTATGTCCCTGGCAATAAGTGTTTTATGGTCACCTGCATATGACAGACTTCCCATAAAGAAAGGCATTAAATATTTTGCCTCTTTAAATGTAATCTTTTTTCTACAGCTCTCTTTATATAATAATGATATATCTCTATTAGTATAAGGGTGCATAATTTTTGTTAGCTCTCACAATTCAATGTATTGTAATGAGTTTTCACCAAGCTGCAGGAAAAGGACTGCATTAATATCCTCAATAGGAGCATCTGCAAATAATTTAGCTTTTGGAAATTATTGTCAGAGCATGAGAAAACTGGAGCCTCTCTAATAAACTCTTTCAGGCTCTTAAACCCTTTATTAATGTTGGAATCTCATGACTACTAGATACTTTGCACATCAGGGTTCCCAGATTGGTAAAATGCACATTTCCCTAGATAGTTCACCCTCACAAAGAATCTTTGGGGTTCTTTCTTGTCCTAAAAAATGGATGTAATGGGTGACACTTTCAATTCTGCTGTGATTTATCTAGCTTGGTCAGAAGCTAGGTGAAGGTGACATATTTTTTTTTTATGATACAGAAGTGTGTGTGTGAAACTTAACCCAGCAAAGGTCCCTGGAGTCTGTGATCATTTCCCTCTTACAGTATTCTGGTGGTATTTCAGCTGTTCTTCTCCCTGCCTCCCTAGATTAAAATATGTCATCTATATCAATCTTATTAGTTGCTGTGGTAATTATAATATCAAACAAACAATACAACCATATATCTTGAAATGTGTTTCATTTTATTTTTTCAATGGCTTTTGTTCTGGTGGAGGAAAAGGTTAACGGCTGGATTGCAGAGGGGCTGGGCGCAGCCTGGCTAATAGCAGTCTGCCCTGCAGCTGTGCCCCTGCGGGACATTGCAGGTAGCAGATCATGGCTCTTCCCCGGCTCCCGACCACACTGTCACTGCTGCAAAATCCTGGCTCCCTCCCTGCCAGCACTGTTTGGGCCTATCTCCATGGAAACCCTGGCCCCACATGGCCCTGCCCCTCCTGAGGCTCCAATGGAAATCAGCCACAATGATGCAGGCAGGGGCTGCTGGGAAATGGCAGGTGATGCAGGCAGTCTGGCTGCCGGCAGGATTTGCCATTTTGCCCACCCCATTGTAGAAACGGGGAGAGAGAGAAGCAGGGGAGCCAGAGAGTGCATGTGTCTGTGAGTGCTTGCTAGCCTGTAGCCTACTACAGCATAGAAACCTGCTGGTGTGAAGCCCTAGGTCAGGGGTGGCCAATTATTTTGGCTGGAGGGCTGTTTAAGAACTTTTGGTGAGCTGTCCAGGGCTCCAAAGGTAGCCTCATCCCTTGATGGTTGCCCCACCCCAGTCGCCATCACCGGAAGTCCCACTCATAACCCCTGACATTTTGCCACTGGAAGTCCCATCCCTTGCCCGTGGCAGTACTCCTTTTGGGAGGGGGTTTGCCATCCTGGAATCCCCCCCAAAAAATGGTATTAAAAAAGTCAAGTATCTATTGTAACATATTTTAATTTTATTTCAAAAATATTTTTGTCCTGATTTATGTGTCTTACATAGTGTATTTAGAGGTGATTGTATAATAGCTCAAACTAAAGTCTTACTCTTACACACTCCCCCCTACCCCCATGGCGCACAGCCCCTGCCACTGCCAGCAGTGGCAGCCCTTGGCTTGTGCAGGTGCCAGCACCCCACACTGCACAGCTCTGGCCAGTGCTGCATGGTGGTGGCAAAGAGTACTGCCCCACTGGGCACCTCTCTCACACCAGCCTCTGCATGCCCATGTGCTTCTCCAAGCAATTGCGGGTGTGGGGATAGCGGTGTGGGCTAGAGCCAGCTGGCTTCCCTGCCCTCTGCTTCCCAGGACCTGCAAAACTGGGAGCAGGGAAGGCAGCCAGCTCTGGGCTTTCCACAGTAGCGCAGAGCTGCACACGGGCTGCACAGAGCCTGGCATGAGAGAAGCAGTCAACGGAGTTGTGCTCCTCGCTTCCAGCATGCAGCACTGTCTGGAGCCATGCACGCCCAGGCCTGCATGGGCCATGAGTGCCCCAAGGGCTGCTGCTGTTGGTGGTGTGGGCTGTGCTCCATGGAGGGGAGTTTGTGTGTGTGTGTGTGGCGGCGGGGTCCCCACCCCTGCCATCCTCCCTTGCACCCATAGCCTGCCAACCCAAGCTCCGTGCTCCCACCACCCCTGTGGGCATGGGCTTCACAGTCCTGCTCAGCTGTAGACCCCCTGGCCCACCCCCCTAGTACCCACCTGCTCCCTACCTGTTGCCTGGAGTGAGCCAGATGCTGGAGAAGGTATGGAGGTTCCTGGGGTGGCAGCATCAGCAGCCCCACCCAGAAGCTGCATGCTGGCCAGGCCCTTCTGTGACCTCATCTTTTTTCTGCAACTGTGACCCACAGTTTGGGAACCACTGTATTACAAAAAAAAACCCAAATGAGCAACCTACGAATAAAAAAAAAAAAAAACCCACAAAGCCCAAAAACCTGCAACCTGTGAGACTAAAATCAACGTGACTTTTTTAAAAAAACAAGCCCAATTCTACTTATTATAAGCAGACTTGGTAACACTGGTCTTGGGGGGTGGTAGTGTGTGGGGGTGGTGGGGGTTCCCTGCCACATGCCCCTCCTCCCTTCCATGGCGCACTGTCCCACCAGCAGCAGCAGCAGTAGCAGGCAGTGGGCCTTGGAGCGCTTATGGCCTGCAGCAGGCAGAGCCCCCTGGTGGTGCATGGCTCCAGCTGAGTCTCAGGGGCTGCCCATGGCAGCACAGAACCAGTCTGGCCCACTGGCATGAACCTTCAAAGCAGATGGGCTGGCTCTGTGCCAGCACATGGGACTTCTGGCATTGCAGGTGGGGGTCATGCCCTAGTAGACTGGGCGGTGTGGGCACTGTTTCTCCCCATGGGACTTCCAGCACTCTAGCAGGAAACTGCACATGGCAGCACAGCCTGCCTGGCCTGAGGTTGTGCACTTTCCTTTAGCTTCTGGGTTCGCATGCCATTGGGCCAGACAGGCTGTGTGCTGCCACGTGTGGCTCTTAGGATTGCAGCTAGCAGCGTGCACCACTGGGCCAGGCTGGGCTCAGGCAATCAATAGTGGGACCAAGCTATAAAGGAATAGGCAGCCAGAACCCATAAATGGGAAGTGGCTATTGCTGTGCTAGCTACATAGTTACTCTACTATTGCTATTACTATTGGGAAGCAGCAGTGCTAGCAGATTCCTGACAGTAGCACAAGACAAAGTCGTGTGTGGAAGATGAGGTAAGGCTACTGCTATGTCTGTTGCTATAGGCTACCCTGAAGGCCATAGGATGTTAGAGGGTTCCTGCAGATGGCCCAAGGAGTCACCTGACTGGAATAGGGAAGGGCTTTGGTGTCAGATAAGCCAGGGCCAGAGCCTGAGCAGTCAGTCTGGCCCTGGAGGCTGAAGGGAAAGAAATTCTTCAGTAAGATGCTGCCTGGTGAGAGCTCAGTAGACATCCTGTTATCCCTGAGAGATGCCAGAAAGGAGCTGAGGGCTGGCAGGAGATGAAACACAGTGTGGACATGTATTTTAGATAGCCTTTGTGCTTGGAGAATTAAGTTATAGCCAGTGCACTAATGTTTTGGTTTGTGTTTTAACTGTAGAAGAGGTCAGGAGGTCCCAGTGGTGACAGGCGGCCCAGTGAGGCTGGAGCCTGCTGAGTGCAGGGCAAATGGTTGTCTCAGCCATCCTCTTGGCTGCTTTACAAGGGCCTGCAGCCTGGGGAGCGGGGTTGAGACAAGGTATGGGCACAGCTACAGGGGAGGTTGGAGGCTGTGATTAGCCCATAAGGCAACAGGTACCCATGGGGGCATGTGTGGGCCAAGAGAGTCCACCTAGTGGGAAGAAGGTATTGGGAACAGTGGGATCCAAGACTGATCTGCAGTTAAGAGGAGAGGTTATGGTTCACTCTAATTCCTTTGAGCAGCCTCCCTTTCCAAGTTTTTTGTTAGTGAGATCAAGGCATGGCAGATGACAGCAAAAGGAGGGTAACAGGAGCGGCACAGGAGCTGACTCACCACTAGGGGTGTGATAGCTGTAACACCAGCCATGTTACAGCATCTTATTCACATGTTCCTGTTAATGAAAACAAACACCACTAAATTTCTTGTAATGAAAGGAGCCTCCTGGGCTGGGTTGTCCAATCCAATCCCCCTCCACCCTGGAAGACCTGAGTTTTACCCATCTATCTTCTCTTTTTTTATCTTTTCATTAATTTTTTTTAGATTTATTGTCCATCAGTATACTTGCTTTTGTACAAAAGTCCACCTTAGAAC